TCTTTTAGGCTGTGAAGCGTGTGATGAAGAGAGATGGAGCTGATGAGGAGAGGGCAAGACAAAGGATAGCATCACAGATGAGTAATGGTGAGGCTGTAGACCATGCTCATGTTGTTTTTTGCACACTGTGGGAGTATGAGTTTACTCAAGAATGAGTAAGGAAATAAAGAGAGTGACCAAGAGGATATTTTATTGTGATTTATAGGTTGAAAAAGCATGGACAGCACTAAAAGATAGAATAATGAGAAATAAATTATAATGCCATTAGCTTATTTAAATTATCATTAATTTGACTCTAATGTTGCTTGGTATCATCATTAGAGGGACACTATATTGATTGGAGTCATACAGAACATGATTTCTTTACAATGGACTAAATTTATATTGAGAAGAGTCATACATATTATGTATGAATCTTCTCACTGTTTGTTCACTCTGTTTTTTCATAATTATTAGATTAATTAATGGCATGTCTATAATAACCAAATGAAACTAGACCCCACCTATACTGCTGCAAGTGTTCTAGATATGCTTTTTTGGTCTCTTCTGCTGCTTTTTTTGTCATTGGCTAGTCAAACTTGCTGTAGCTCCTTTAATATTACTTTCACTCTTCATGGTTCTGAATGCGAGTCTAATGGTTCCAGTCTTGCAGATTTTTTCATTTTGAAATATCATGATGGTCCTGGAAATTATTGTTACATATCCAAGAGTGAGTTCAATCAAACTGTATACCTTTATTAATGTTAATAGGCTCTTTTAATTGTTCTGGAAATAAAAGCGTTACACTGAACCATAGTGGCAGTTCATTCCATATCTTTCTTTACTGGTATAGAACTAATCGAAAGTGCTTAGTTTCAGGTGTTTCTCTTTCATGTATGCATAATCATCACACTGATATGATTTATCTTTGCACAACTTCTTCAACATGTTGTGTCTCACAAAAACTTATGATTGAAAGTGACTTTTGTACAGAGGAGGCGCCTACAATGAATTCCTTGACAAGCTCACCCGTGTGCAGCAATGAAAATAATTTCATGTATACAGAATGCCCAAATGAATTTTTATCATCAACCATCATGGCTACAACAACTGAACATTCAGAATTAGTTTCTGATATGTACTTATCTTCTTTTTCATCTACTTATTTAATTTTACCCACTCCTCTGGAGCCATCACAGCCTATCTCAGCTTCTCCATCTCCTACTTCCTTATATTGTCCTTCTGATCCTCCGTGGCCACTAACACCAGCTGGATATAATGCCACCAGTACCTGTCACAAAGGACTATTTAATGGTCAGTGCTCAATTTTATCATAACTATTTCTTTTTTCTTCAATAGCTACTAGGTGGTGTAATGAAAGTGGGAACTGGAATCCTGTTATCTGTTTTTCTTATGAAAATTTTGAAGCTATTATATTGCTGGTAAATATTTTACATATAATATTAATTAGACCTTTTTGTACTTTAATAATAGGCATCATTATCTCCTTATGATGCACTTGACTCCCTTTTAAACAGTATTACTACTATTTCTGCTGTTCAAACAGTTGTACTGTTAGATATTATAGTTTCCAGTAATTCCAGGAATGCTACTACTACTGAGGAATTTGGACAAGTGAGTGACTTTTATTCATTTACTCTATTGTCTTTTCCTCTGTAGTTACTTTTGAAAACTTTTGATGAATTTTTAAATGAAACAGACCCATCTCATTATGATGAAGAAGTTAGTATCAAAATATTCTAAAAACTGCTGTAACTCATAAAATGACTTAAAAACAGATTTGCTGAAAATTTTAATAATAATTTTTCTATTTGCCAAGTTTATGCAGTCTCTGTCCAAAGTAACCAACATTATAAAATAAACACCTTTTACTGATCATTAGTGATTGGTACTGACGCTTCTTTCTTTGTTATCATATTTTACATGTACATACTACTATCCTTTACTGTAGTAAATAGCTACATGGAATATTAATGATAATGATTTGTATGAATGCATCTCAGGTATTCCCCAAAGTTGATGAGACAGGTTTGC